AGAGTGAAACTCCATCTCAGAACTGAAAATACGTAATAAATTACCCAGGCAAGGTGGTGCACACCTGTGGTGCTCACTGCTTGGGAGGCTGAGGCAGAAGGATCGCTTAAACCCAGGATTCAAGGCTGCAGTGAGCTAAGGTCGTGTCCCTCTATTCCAGCCTGGGTAAGAGAGCAAGAGTCTGCCTCTTAAAAAAAAAAAAAAAAAAAAAAAAAAAAGCGAGGTGCAGTGGTTTATGCCTGTAATACCAGCACTTTGGGAGGCCGAGGCGGGCGGATCACCTGAGGTCAAGTTGAGACCAGCCTGACTAACATGGAGAAACCCCATCTCTAACAAAAATACAGGAAAAAAAAAAAAAATAGCCGGGTATGGTAGCACAGTCCTGTAATCCCAGCTACTCAGAAGGCTGAGGCTGGAGAATTGCTTGAACCCGGGAAACAGAGGTTGTGGTGAGCCAAAGTCACACCATTGCACTCCAGCCTGGGCAATAAGGGCAAAAGTCCATTAAAAAAAAAAAAAAAAAGATATGGATAGCTTTAGCTAGGCCGGCACAGTGACTGGAATTGAATCTGTAATCCCAGCTATTGGGGAGGCTAACACTGGAGGATCGCTTGAGGCCAGAAGTTTGAAACCAAACCAGCCTGGGCAACATAGCAAGACCCCATCTCTCTATGTAAATAAAGATAGATAAATAAACAAAGATCAAGATAAAAACAAGAAGGGCCCTGCATGGACCAGTAGTGACAATGTGCTATGAACTGAAGGAACTGAAGAAGAGGATTTAATCAGCCCTTCACACTGCTGAGTGCACATCTGGAAAACCAAGGCTCACGGATCTTCACTGCTGGAGGGGGACTCAAGCCAGTTCTGCCCTAATGTGAAGTCCACATCCTGAAAACTCTTTGTCCAATCTGGGACTGGGTCTGATGTCTGCCGGGGCCTGGGTGGACAGAGCAGAGGAAGCCTGGCGGACACCATTCTCTGAGCCCTGGGTCCTGGGTTCTAGATGGCTATGGTGCTAGGTGAGGGCCCCAGCAGACAGGTCCTCTAAATGGCCTGAGCATTTCTAGCCACCCAGGGGTGGGCCCTGGCTCCATGAGGAAGGGCCTGGGTCCACCAGGAAGCAGGCAGGGCGTCCCCAAGGTGGACGTATCTCAGGCGTCTTCCTTTTCTGGAGACTCATTGTGTTTTTGAAATATTAAAAAAATACTAAAAACAGCTGCTGCTTGGAATTCTTAGTTGGTCGGGGAAAAAAATACCAAAAACAGCATTATGAAAACACGGTGTATCTTAGATGTTTTCATCTGCTTAACGGACACTCTTGCTTTGGTTTGGTCTGGTTTGGTTGTTTGTTTGAGATGGAGTCAAACTCTGTCACCCAGGCTGTGGTGCAGTAGCATGACCGTCGCTCCCTGCAACCTCCACCTCCCGGGTTCAAGCAATTCCCCTGCCTCAGCCTCCCAAGTAGCTGGGACTTCAGGTGCCTGCCACCATGCCCAGCTAATTTTTGTATTTTTGGAAAAGATGGGGTTTCACCATGTTGCCCAGGCTGTTCTCGAACTCCTGACCTCAGGTGATCCACCTGCCTCGGCCTCCCAAAGTGCTGGGATTACAGGCGTGAGCCACCGAGCCCAGCCAAGTCTACATTCAAGGTTCTTCAGGAATGTGGGGACCAGGCTAGATTCCCCTAACTCCTCAAGACAGCTCTGTGAGCCAGGTCTGCATCCAGGAGGATGAGCAGGGCCGACCCTGAGTGGTGAGAGGAAAACTCCCCCACATACTAAAGCAGCAGAGCCAAGGGCTGCAGGCCTGGCTCTGGTGCCAGAAGTTTGTGACATGGCCCCTGCTGGCCTTTAGTATGGCCCATAGGTCTGGCTCGGGGGCCAGGAGGGACTGGGGAAAGCAGGAGGAACCCCTCTGGGAGGGGTGGCAAATGGCTGAGATAGAAGGGGTCAGACTCTCCAAGATGTTAGGGGCAGAGTCTGGAGCCGCATGCTGACTCTAATCCTCCTTCCCTATGCTGTCATCAGAAGAGGGTGGGGGGGTGGGAGAGGGAAAGGTGGAGTCTCAGGCTCTTGTGAGCTGCGTCTGAGCCTTCACCCGCTACCTCCAGCAGAAGAGCCAGGCCCAGTCACCCAAACAGGAGGCAGACAGAGCTTCACAGCCACTAAGAATTAAGACCTATTGATTTTCCCCATTAGCCAGAGAACGCCATCAAAGTGCATTAAAACCAGGCAAAGCGGCAGCATCATGAATAATTAACATCTGCAAATGACAACCCCATGGGACTAGGGGGAGGCGGGAAGGGGCTTCTAGAGGCCTGGGGCACCCTGACCCCTTCTGACCCCCACCCCAGGGAGCCATCATCTAGGCTGCCCTGCCCTCCTTGCCTCTTGTCCCCTCTCATTCTTTGTCCTCTCCTTAAAGAAACACCAAGTCCGCAGCGCAGCCAGCAACCTAAGCTGATACTGGAGCAGGGAGGATAGAGCACTGAGACAAGAGTCAGGGGTGGCAGCTTGGCTCTGTGTCACTGTGTGACCTCAGCGAAGTTGCTGCTTCTTTCTGGGCTCATTCTCCGCCTCTGTGCAGTGAAGCGATCGGCCCAGCTGGCCTCTTGCTCAGTCTCTGGTTCTAGAGAGGGACAGTGACTCCCTAAGTTACACAGCAGGTCCGTAGCAAAGCCTGGGTTGCTGGGGCATCTTCCCCAGTCCAGTCTATGGGAGCCTTTTGTGCCAATCAGAAGAAAAGCACCCCCTTTGGGTAGACCAATTGGAAAAGGCTACCCCTTTGAGTGGACCAATTTGAAAACGAATGCACGCCCTCTGAATAGATCAACACTCTTCTAGGGGGACTAATTTTTCCTTTTTTTTTTTTTTGAGATGGAGTCTCATTCTGTTGCCCAAGCTGCAGTGCAGTGGTGTGATCTCAGTTCACTGCAACCTCCATCTCCTGGGTTCAAGAGATTCTCCTGCTTCAGCCTCCTGAGTAGCTGGGATTACATGTGTGTGCCACCACACCCAGCTAATTTTTGCGTTTTTAGTAGAGACAGGGTTTCACGATGTTGGCCAGGCTGGTCTTGAACTCCTGACCTCAGGCGATCCACTTTCTTTGGCCTCCCAAAGTGCTGGGATTACAGGTGTGAGCAACAGTGTTCGCCTAGGGGGACTAATTTTTTAAAGGCCCCCTCCAGACTAACCAATAAGGAAAAAGCACTCTTTTGGGTGGACCAATAAGAAAAAGGCAACTCCTCATGCTGTCACAGTTGAAAAGTGCAAGTCTTGGCAGGGCAGAGGTGGGGCTGGATACCACCCCCACAACCATCTCTTCCCTTCCCTGCCCTCCCCTACCTCTCCCCAACTCCCCGCCATCTCCTATCTTCCAGGGTGTCCTTGTGCAGTATGTACCACCTAAACAACTGTACATGGCCGCTCTGTTCCCAGCCCCCACCTTCTCTGGGCCAAGGAGGCCCAGACCTGTTCTTCCAGCCACATATATTGATGGTTCCTTCCAAGCCTCTCTGTGTCCCCACCACCAAACTCCTCAGCCCCTCAGCTGACCCGAGTTCCCACTTCCATTTTCCTCCCACCCAGCCTTCCTCCTCAGAGCCCTGGGTGGGCAGCTCTGGAACGGTCCCTCATGCACATCCAGCTGTGTCACCTCTGCCTTCTGGCTGCCTTGCAGCGCCCCGTCCATACCGTCCATGCCTCGGAGCCTTCGCATACTCTATTCTCTCTGCTGGCAATGCCTCATCTCTTGAGCTCCCTGGAAAACTCTACTCACTCTTCAAGGCCCAGCTTAAAGATATGCTTCTCACTCTCCTCCTCAAACGATCAGCTAGTTCTTGCCTCTGGGCTTCTGCACCTCTTCCTAGAATGTTCTCCCTTCAGATCTGGCTGGTTCCTCCTCCTTCTTCCTCCTCCTCCTCATCCTCGTCCTGAGGGTTTCAGCTCCAGTGTTCCCTCCTTGGGAGGTGTTCCCTGAACACCCCATCTAACTACCGCCCCATCAGCCTCTGTCACATGTCCCTGTTTTATTTTTTTCATAGCACTTTGGACAATCTGAATGTATTTTTCCTTTGTTTATGGGTGCTTCCAGAGCCACTGTGAATGGTGGTCCGTGTTGTCAACTGCAGAGGTTAGTGGGCTGAAACCCAGCCTGGGTCAACACGACAAGCTGGTGCTGGGGCTGTACCTGCTTGGAGGGAAGCACCTTTCCCTAATGCACATGATGGCACTATGCAGGCAAGCTGCAGCCCCACTGGTATCACCTCCTTCAGTGACATGCAAAATCCACCAGAGGAATGGCACCTGCCCACTTCACTGCTGTGTGCCCATGCCCAGCCAGCCCAGTGCCTGGCACCATGCAGGTACTCAGTCAACATTTCCAAGCCTGGTGCAGTGGCATGCACCTGTAATCCCAGCTACTTGGGAGGCTAAGAAGGGAGAATCACTTGAGCCCAGGAGTTTGAGACCAGCCTGGGCAGCATATCGAGACCCTATCTCAAAAAAAAAAAAAAATTAGGCAAACAAATTCTATTCTGATTCTCCCACTCCCATCCTCCTCCCATACTCCTCAATAAAGTACTGCTGTGGCTTCTTCATCGCTGGGTCTCACTGAAGCCAACCCCAGAACTAGGCTCAGGGTTGGCAAAGGTGACTGTTAAGGGAGCATGGGAAGACCCAGGGAGTTGAGGGGTGAGTGTGTGAGTTTGGGAGCCCTGAGGATGCTCCCTGAAGCTCTGAGCCTTGTCTATCCCAAAGACACTGCCCTGAGCCCCCAGGACCCCCCCCAGAGCCCCCCCAGCTCCCTGGAGGTGTGCATGAAGGAGTCAGGTGGTCCACACACTCCCAAGCCCGAGGAGCCCAGCTCGGCACAGAGACTTATGGGAAGGAGGTGGCACTGAGGGTCCTGCTGCGACAGCCAGGCTCAGAGCAGGGGTGGGATCAAGGCACCGCCCTTGCCTCTGCTCCCCAAAGCCACTTTGCCAGCCTGCCTGGCCGTACCCGTCCGCCCCGCCAGCCTCCCCAGCTTTGGCAGGGAAGGAGTTAACCTCCAGCCTTCTCAGCGTGAGTGTGGAGCTATTAATACCCACAGCCCAGTCAGTCTGCCAGAGAAGCCACTGGAGCTGGGGAGAGCAGGGAGCCGGGGAAGCCGCCAGCCGCCCGAGCTGGAACCGGGACTCCAGGGGCCAAAACTTTTCTCGATGACGACGTGGGCACCGTGCCAGCCTCACCTGGCCCTTGCCCATCTGTCAGCTGCAGGTCCCAACCCTCTCTCCTGGAGGCCACCCGTGCCACCCACCCCAGCCGAGAACAAACTTTCTTCCTTTGCGGCTGTGCTGGCTGGACAGGGAGGAGCAGACGACTGGACAGACAAGGGCACTGGGATACAGGACACTGTAAGCCTGCCCTCCCAGGCCCGCCTCTGACAGACAGCCACAGAGTGGGCAGCTGGGGGGCCTAGGGCTCCACAGGGGCAGTGGGGGCCCTGCCGGACCTCCGACCACCTACCAGCCACCTTGGAGTCCAGGTAGCTGGACACTGCTTCCCAGGGCCCAGCCCTTTGGCTGGAACACCCTCGGGTCAAGACAGGAGCCCCCACCAGACAGAGCCCCCTCGGCTCCTCCACCCACCGAAGCGACGGGCAACCTGAGTGAGAAGGCACAGGTGGCGGGCGGGCAGGTGCGGAGCCCTGAGGCCGACGGGCTGCTGACCCTGGAGCACCCTGGCTCAGGGACTTCTGCCCAGGCTGGGGACGATGCTGTGGAGGCCACCCCCATCCACCCCTGCCCTGTCCTGGAGCTGCCTCCAGCCTGGCCCATGGGCTGTGGAGTCGATGATGTACCGGCCTTCTGCTTCATCTGCTTCCACAGGGAGGAGGAGGAGGAGCTGCTGGAAGAAGTCCCACTGCGGAGGTCAGTGCCCGTGGGTGGCCAGTGGGTGGGCAGCGAGTGGGCACCGGCGCTCGACCTGGGGTGCCTCTGGGCCTGGCAGTCTTGCTTCAAGTCTCTCTCTCTCTGCTTACCACCCACTGCCACTTCCTGCTTCAGGATCTCAGATCTCTTACCTGGCTATTGCCACAGCCTCCTCCCTATCCCTCCCACCCTGGCCCCAGAGTGGGTTTCCTGTCCTCTCCCACAGTGGGCATGTCCCCTCCACCTCGCTCAGAGCCCTCCATGGCTCCCACCTCCCGTGGGATGAAGTTGACACTCGGCTGGGCATTCAGGCCCTGCGTGATCGGGGCTGACGCTCTTCACCTTATCTCACTCTGTTTCCCCATATTCACCTCCAGTGAAACTGCCCAGACTTCTCTTCCCCAGTTCTCCTCCATCCAGGTCCAGCTGCAATGCTTCCTCCTTCAGGAAGTGCTCCTGGATGTCCCTGTCCCACCCCAATCTAAGAGCCACCTTTCCATCCTGCACTGCAGTGGCACCTAACAGGTGTTCCATCTTTGTTGAATTCATAAGTGAACATGTGTGCATGTGTATTTGCTTGCGTGTGTATGTAAAAGAGAGAGGGAGAGAGAGAATGAAGGTTTGTGAGGCTACCTGACTGGGTATTGGGGGCAAGTGTGTGTGACTGTGAGCATGTGTACAAGTTTGTGGGCACAGGTGTGAGTTCTGCATACCTATGTGGAGGGAAGTGCTGTTCTGTGAACCCCCAGTGGGAGTTCATGCCCTAGAGACCATTGTTCCTTTAGCCAGCTCTCCCCACCCCCACCTGCAGGGAAACCCAGGCTCCAGCCAAGTGCATTATCCAAGCTGTGACCACAGGCTCTGGGAGTGATCTGCAGGGGAGACAGGGGTCACCTCTGTTCCAGCCCCCCCTGCCCGTGCCTCCATCACTGCCTGAGTCAGCACTGCCCTGCCCTGGGTCAGGAGAGGCAAGGCATGAGCCAAGACAGGTTTCCCCTCCAGGATGCTTGCAAGATGAGAGGGCTGGGGGATTGATTCCTGCAGCCTGCCCCGGGTTCCTCCCTGACTCTCTCTGTCAGACCCTGGGTCCACAGTTCCCGCTCCGTGGGCCTCTGTCTTCTCATCTGGGAAATTTGAGGCTGTTCTCTGCTATGGTTGTCAGCTTAACATTCAACACAGAGACTGGCCACCCACAGATGGCCAGGGCCTGGGCTGGGGACTGGAACCCGGCTCCCAGGGTCACTGCCTGCTAAGAGAGACAGAGGAGAAGACAGATCAGTTCCACACAGAGTAGTGGGCATCTTGATGGGCATGGGTGCAGAGTGCCTAGGAAATCAGGAGGGGAAGAAGGACCATCTCCACCCACAGGAGCCATCAGAGGCCACCAGGTCTGTCTTAACATCCAAGTGCCCTCCCAGGGGCAAGAGAGGCTGAGGAAAGGGCATCACAGGCAGCAGGAATGGCAAGAGCAAAGGCTTGGTGCAAACAGGAAATGAAGTGTGGACAGTGCGGGTGTGGCAGGAACGGGGCCAGATCACAGAGGGCCTGGAAGCTGAGCCGGGGACCTGACCCATAGGTGCTGGAGCAAGCAATGGGGAGGGCTCGAGGCAAAACAGGGGCAAGTGAGGAGAAGCAAGGGAATTATAGCTACCAAGGGCACCTTAAACTCCAAAGCCATGGACTCATGATAGAAACCCATGTTCATAGTGAACTCTCAAAATGCTTGTTGAATGAATAAATGAATGAAGAAACGAATATGACATTGAAAGACAGGGCATCAGGCTGGGTATGGTGCCTCACACCTATAACCGCAGCCCTTTGGGAGGCCAAGGCAGGTGGATTGCTTGAGCTCAGGAGTTTGAGACCAGCCTGGACAACATAGTGAGATCACCATCTACACACACACACACACACACACACGCACACGCACACGCACACACACACGCACACTTAGCCAGGCGTGGTGGCATGCACCTGTAGTCCCAGCTACTCCAGAAGCTGAAGCAAGAGGATCCCTTGAGCTCAGTATTTTGAGGCTGCACTGAGCTATGATTGCGCCCCTCCACTCCAGCCTAGGCGACAGGAGAGACCCTGTCTCAAGATAGAGAGAGAGAGAGAGAGAGAGAGAGAGAGAGAGCGAGCGCATGGGAATAATCTGAATTGATTGTTCAAAAATACCACATTCCCAGGCCCTGCCTTGGAGATTTTGCAGCTTCGGGTCTTAGGATTGATGTGTGATGTTGATCAGTTTCCTCCTAGGGAATAATTTAAGCAAAGCAGCATTTGGGAAGCCCCAGAAAGAGACAGGCACAGGCCTCAGGGTTGGCAGCCGTGAAATCCTGCCCCCTCCTCCCTCATCCCTTCATCTCCCACCTCTGATTCTGGGGACTCTCTGTAGGGGATGTCTCTCTGCCTCCTTCCCTGGGAGTATGGTAGCCTATGTTTGCAGGAGCTGGTCTCTTTTCTAGCCAGTGGGTTCTGGCCCTTTAAGACCTGGGAGGGGATAGGGCCAGGCTGGGCAGAGACAGTGACCACAGGTGCCAGGTGGTGAAGCTAAAAATACTGAGTGATGCGTCCGCCCAGGCTGCGTGGCCAGTGCTGGCTGGGGAGGGTGGGACAGAAAGCGCTGGAGTGTTTCTTTGCTGCTGGAGGAGGGGCAGTGGTGCAGGAAGGCTGGGTGGGGTCACCTTGGGGGCTTAGAGGAATCTGTGGCTGCCCCCGCCCAACCTCACCCCGCCTCTCCCAGCCTTGCTCCAGCCCCTGGAAGGCTCCAGAATTCACTCCTAGAATAGCCGGCTGCCACGTTTAGCAGCCTGGGCAGGCTAATTCTGGTGCATCCCGCTTCTGTGTGATCCTGGAGAAGTCACTTCTTTTCATTGGGTATCTGTAAAATTAAAGAATTGGACTTTCTCAGGCATTTGTAGGGAGAGAAAGGCAACAAAGAGGGGCAGGTGACCAGTTCACTCCTTTGTGGATTCAGTACATTTCCTGTGGGGACTGGATGCTGAGGCCACTGCATGAATGTGACACAGCCATGTCCCTGGAGGCGCTCGCAGCCTAGCGAAGACAAAACAACACACGCTCCAACAGACAGTGCCACATGCTATAATAAAGGTGTGAGCACCGTGCCCTCGGCTTCTGTTGTGGGACGATGCAAGAGACAGCCCCACAGAGAACACATCTGCATTTGATGAAAATTTGTCAACAAACTCGTCACCCACAGTGATGTTCACCAGCCACCTACATATGGTGTTTTGATGTATTAATTAAGGTGAGGCAAGCTGTTGGAATAAATAAGCTTGGCGATCATAATGGCTCAACACAGAAGAGACTTATGTTCTGGGTGTGTGTTGCGGGGGTGGTGATGGAAGAGACTCTGCTCCATGTGATCTTTCAGGGATCCAGGCTCCTCTCATCTTGTGACTCCATCATCACCCACAGCCACTGCATGCAGCTTGCAAATGAAGAAAAAGTGTGGGGATCACATATGAGGTTTTTATGAACCAAAGCTGGAAGTGGTCTCCTTCATTTCTGCCCACAAGCATTGGCCAGAACAGCTCATTGCAAGAAAAGCTGAGAAACGCAATCCAGTCTACATGAAAGCATCCAGCACATAATAGATGCTCGATGTGCTCGTTTATTCATTCACTCAGTAAATTTCGTTGCATACCTTTCGTAGGCTAGCACCAGAAGCTGGACTGAAAATACCATCCCTGCCCTCAAGGGGTTTATGTCTAATGAGGGAGTCAAAGCACAAGTGAACAGATCAGATCATCAAGACTCCAAACCCACTGGGAAGGACATTACCAGGGATGGTGGAGACAGCCACTTTGCATACGGTAAACAGAGGTACAGATGTTTCACCCGAGATCTTGAGAATGAGAAGGAGCCAGCAGTGGAGAGAGGGGTGGTAACAGCAGCTCAGGCAAGGCAAACTGAGAGCAACGGGTAGGCAGGAGCACGAGGAGGGTGAGGGATAATGGGTCCCTGTGGCCAAGGCAGAGCAAATGACAGGGACAGTGACAAGAAGGGGGCCAGAAGGTACAGGAACAGTCAGGCCACGCAGGCCTTGGCACCCATAGAGAGGAGAATGGATTTTGTTCCAGATGGACTTGGGAAGCCTTTGAGAGCTCTTAAATGGGGGAAGTTGTATAATCTGACTGACATTTTAAAGGATATTTCAGGCTATGCTTGGGAGAATCCGTGGTGATGGGCCAGAACGGATAGAGGACACCAATGTGGAGGTCATGGTGGTGGGCGGCTTTGGAGACAGGGAAGTAAGGAAGTGCTTTCTGAACGTATTTAGGGACTGGGCACAGTGGTTCATGCCTGTAATCCCAGCACTTTGGGACACCAAGACGGAAGGATTGCCTGAGCCCAGGAGCTCCAGACCAGCCTGGGCAACAGAATGAGACCCTGTCCCTATAAAAGAAAAATTTAAAAATTAGCCAGGCATAGTGCCGTGGGCCTGTAGTCCCAGCTACTCGGGAGGCTGAGGTGGGAGGATTGCTTGAACCCAGGAGTTTGAGGCTGCAGTGAGCTGTGATCGTGTCACCGCACTTCAGCCTAGGTGACACAGCAAAACCCTGTCTCTAAATAAATGAATAAAAGCAAACATTGAAGACAAATCCACAGCATTTTCTGGTGAGTTAGAGGAGGAAGGGAATCCGGGGTGAATCTGGGCTTTGGGGATTGCAGAGATGCATGGAGGATGGGCAGATTGAAGGGAGGGAAGAGGCTTGGTGAGAAGAACATCAAGAATCCCAGCCAGGCGCACTGGCTCATGCCTGTAATCCCAGCACTTTGGGAGACTGAGGCAGGAAGATCACTTGAGGTCAGGAGTTTGAGACCAGCCTGGCCAACCTGGTGAAGGCTTGTCTCTACTAAAAATACAAAAATTAGCCAGGCATGGTGGCACATACCTGTAGTCCCAGCTACGAGGGAGGCTGAGGCAGGAAAATCACTTGAACCCGGGAGGCGGAGGTTGCAGTGAGCGGAGA